ATCCAATCTCTTGAACCAGGTGCGTTCCGTGGCCTGTCCCGTCTGCGCCACCTTTACCTCCAAGGGAACCACCTGGGTGTTGTGCGAGACAGATCCCTCACCATGCTGCCTGCCCTGGAAGTTCTGCTCCTGGGGAACAACAACATCTCTCGGATCGAGGTCAATGCACTAGCACCGTTGCACAGTCTGTCTCTTTTGGGTTTGGAGGAGAATCATCTGGAACATCTAAACTTTAAGACGTTTCTGAGCTTGCACACGGCTGCAACACACCTGCAGTTGGCGGGGAACCCGTGGAACTGTGACTGCGACCTGCACCGTGTCTTCAGCAAGCTGCTCAGCGTGCGGCACCTCCACGTGGACGACTATCGCAACGTAACTTGTCGGGAGCCTTGGCAGCTCGCCGGAGCATCTTTGGCTTGGGTGGACAGCCAGTTGTGTGTGGCTGAGACTGTTACTGTGTTAGTCATCACCGCTACTGTGATTGTGACTGTTTTTGGTGCCTTGATCATGGCGGAGAGAAAACGCAAGAAACGAAAATACTGGGAACAGAATGAGGGGGAAGCACAAGAGTAAGGCGATTTTGCATGAGATTAGGACACTTTTCTTCTCTTTTGGACTGTAAAAACACAGATAAAATGTCCTGATTTGACCAACAAAGAGCAAATACACAGATTCAGTGAGAATCTGGACTGATACCATGAGTTCTGAGTTGATGTGGTGATGGAAATTGAAACTCTTAAGATGCAGTTCACAAACTTTGAACAGAAGTATTTGGTAACTTAGATCTGATAAAAAGTTTTGTAATCTATTCAGATTAGAATCTGTGCTAGATAATCAATTAGTTGTGTAGATGTGTTATAGGTTATAATACACTCTTAAAAATAAAGGTGCTTCAAAAGGTTCTTCAAGCGATGCCATAAAAGAACCATTTTTGGTTCCATTCAGTCAAAGGTTCTTTAAAGAACCATCTCTTTCTTACCTTTTTATAATCTGAAGAACCTTCTTTCGCCACAAATAACCCTTTGTGAAACAGAACGGTTCTTCAGATGTTAAAGAGCAGGTCATATGGTATTTTAAAGTGGCCTAATATTGTGTCGGAGTCCCCTACAACAGGTTTAAATGCATCTAAGGTCAGAAAACATTGTAATTTTCTCAGAATATACATTTAATATTAGAGTCATTTGCCAATGATTTCTAAACTATTCGTTCCAAGCAAGTTCGGAGCAATACAGCAGCTTCTTACAGACATCATCTCTTTTCTGCAAACTCTTGTCAAAAGCTAAAAGTTTTAGAACGGTAAGATTAAAAAAAAAAAAATTTTTAAATAAGTCTCAGCCGTTCACGATGGCTACATTTATTTGATCCAAAATACAGCAAAAGCAGTAATATTACTCCAGTCTTCAGTGTCACCTGTTCCTTCTGAAATCATTCTAACATGCTGATTTGCTGCTCAATATACATTTCTTATTATTATCAATGTTGAAAACAGTTGTATACCTTTTTTTCCAGGAATTTTTGATAGAGAACAGTAAAGAACAGTATTTATTTGAAATAGAAAGCTTTTGTATACATGACCTTTTTTTTTAAGAAATTAATACTTCTATTCAGCAAGGATGCATTAAATTGATCAAAAATGGACACTTACAAAATATTTAAGTTTCAAATAAATGCTGTTCTTTTGAACTTTCTGTTCATCAAAGAATCCTGAAAAAAAAAAATTATACTTCTGTTTTCAACATTGATAATAAGAAATGGATATGAGCAGCAAATCATCATATTAGAATGATTTCTGAAGGATCATGTGACACTGAAGACTGGAGTAATGGAGATTTGACATCATAGGAGTAAATTACATTTTATAATATATTAAAATAGGAAACAGCTGTTTTGGATTGTAAAAATGGTTCACAATATTACTGTGTTGCTGTATTTTTGTTAAATAAATGCAGCCTTGGTGAGCAGAAGAGACGTCTTTTAAAAACTTTAAAAACAGCAGTGAATATAATTACATTTACATAAAATTTCAAGGTAATTTTTATTTTATTGTATATTTTATTTTATTTTAATAGTTTTCCCTCCTGCAATCAGTTTTTTTTTTGTCTTTCTAACATTTCTATTTCTTTCTCTCTTTTTTATATATATAACAATAATAAATGCTTTTCCCTTCAGTAGTGATCTTGATGTTTTATATAGTTTGAATAGAAAATGAATGCGTGTCAATAAGTATGTTGCTTAGTACAATAAAAACCACGTATTCCCTACCCTTTCTGCCAGCAAAACTCTCTCATGTGTCCTTATGTGCTCAAAACTGTTTGTCTGTTAAATTCATTTGCTTCTGGTTGACTGTAAAGCCTCAAAGCCCAAATCTCTGCAGCTGCTGTCAAAGGATTACACATCAATTAATGCGCACGATTCCTCGCACACCCTGATTGAACTTTCAAATCATCATTTAATGAGATTTAGTGTCACTGCACTTGGGGAAGTCCTCTAGGTTAGTGCATTGATCTATATTAAAACACAAAATGTGTACAAAAATAGCAGACTTGTATCTGCAGTTGCTTTTCTGTAGCACAGGCTGGGCTTTAAACCTCTGGAGTTTAAGCAGATTTGTGTGGAGAATTTTGTGGACAGAGAAAGTGAAAAAATCCAGGTCAGTGAGTGTTTGGCGCCATATGGGGCTCTCACTGACAGCAGCAGCTTTAGATTACCAAACTGGGGAACGGCATGTCTCTTTCTTCAGGGAAATACCAGCTTTAAAGCTGGATTCACATGGCCCAAATAAGACTCTTTTTGCTCCTTTCTGTCTGACATATATGGACATGGACATGCTCTAACGTTTTAGCGAATAATGTAGGTTGAACCAACAAATTGGACCGCTGCAACAAAAAACAATTGTCAATATTTGCTGCATAAAACACAAATAGCCAATACAGAAAATCAAATCATTTAAAATTTGTATTATGGTCCCCAAGATAGCATATTTACATCAATAAACATCAAACTAGATGTGTTGTAAGAAGTTTGAATGGTTAGGGATTGACTTAAGCACCTGTTATCTAACACAAAAGAACCTCCTGAAACTGAAAAACTATCCTGATCTTACAAGATTTACATAATATGCAAGTATCAGACTGTCTCAGGGAATTACACTCTTAAATATACTGTAAAGGTGCTTCACGATGCCATAGAAGAACCTTTTTGTCTAAATGGTTCCATAAAGAACCTCTGAAGAACCTTTCTGTTTAACAAAAGGTTCTTTGTGGCGAAAAAAGGTTCTTCAGATTATAAAAAGGTAAGAAAGAGATGGTTCTTTAAAGAACCTTTGACTGAATGGTTCTTTTTGGAACCAAAAATGGTTCTTGTATGGCATCGCTTGAAGAATCTTTTGAAGCACCTTTATTTTTAAGAGTGTAATTACAATTTATTTGTTCGCTAGCCTGCTTTTGTTCTATTAACAGAGCTGGTTAATTGCTGATTACATGTAATCTGGATTATGTAATCAGATTCCAAAAATGAAGTACTTGTAATTAGAATAAATTACATTTTAAAATACTCTGATTACTGAATACTCTGAATACAGTTACTTTTTTATTGATTACATGATTACATATTAGTTACACAATAGCAATAAAGTATTCATAATTTATTGATTCTCCCTAATTCCTCTTTTTTCATCTTTTAAATTTTCCTTTCTGAAATGTCCTATACATTCAGAAAGTCTTCCAGTTTTGTGGACTTTCACACAAAGACCAGTCATTAGTCAGGTGGATTTACAAAAATCATTTCAGTTTTAAGAAGTGTTTCCTTAACATTTCAGTATTACATCAACTACTGATGAGCATGTTAATTTTTATTTGAATTATCACTCAGAGGGTTATTTAACCATGTATTACTTGATCTTTGTAGGCTTTTGTCTTTCAACCACATTAAAATGCACAAATTCACGTTATTTCTTATTTACATGCAATGCACCCAAACTTTTTTGTCAGCCGAACCTCTTTCGCCTAATATAATTACCCATGAGATTTTAAAATAAATATTTTAATAATTAACTGTCACATTTGCATGTTCACGGTTAATGGTCACATGACATGCAGGTAAACAAATAAAATACTTACATTTTTGGTAAGGGTTTTATTTTGATTGTTATTTTAAAATTATTTGTTTGGAAACCATTACAGTTTTTACTATCGCAATAAGCCCTTGCAATCAGTCAAAAAAAAAAATCGAATGTCTTAATTTGTTTGAGAATGGAGAAAGATGGTTCCATTAGGCTCCAGCGTCGTGGCCACATTACCACTTCGGGAGTGCATTATTTCTCTCTAATAATTTTAACGGCCTGGTGTCGCAACTACACCTCAAGATATCATTCAGATGATTTATTTTCGAGATAAACCTTCCGTTGCAAATTCCAAAACATCATTTTATAGCTAATAACAGAGGCTTGGGAGAGAGAGAGAGAGAGAATCCAGGGCAGAATTAGGCAAATATCCTCTAATCATAAAGATACAAAAAAGGGCAATTAAATTCTGGAAACATCTGAAGCTCAGTGACCCCCAATCATATCATTATAAAGCCCTGCAATACCAAGAGATGAGCAAAGAAAGCAAGCCCCTCCCTCAGCTGATCCTGAGCTTCAGTCCTGATGTTTCACTAACATCTACTGCTGCTCTGAATCACAACATCAGAATCAGTCAGATTACTGCACAAATCAAACAGAACTACATCACTCACTTAGGAGAACACAAGAACTGCTGTGTGTTTGCTGCTCAATATGTATCTGCCTGTCACCATAGAAGAGAAAACACTCAATCTGCCCTGATCTGATGTTTCCAGCACACTCTTAAATTGAAAAATTGGAAATTGAGAGAGAGAGAGAGAGAGAGAGAGACTATTTTACTGATAAATTTGCGGGGCAGCGCTGACGACAAGTTTCTGTTCGTGTCTGCGTCTGTGAGAGAACGGGAGAAAGAAAGCCTGATTTCCGTACATAAAAAAAGGTGGAAAACATGGAAATAGTTTGTCATTTTTTACCCTATTGTTTGTTATATTTATTTTCTCAATGTCTTCTGGTGTTTTGGTTCTTTTGCTCTTGTAGATAGCCCATAGTATAACAAAAAATATTATATATTGATTCATTGTGTTTGGGCCCCCCTGGACGAGCGAGCATAGGCACGTGCCTATAGAATGCCTATGCGTAAATCCGGCCCTGAATGTAGGCCTAATATATATTTTTTTCTTTGCATATTTATATCGATAGGGTACAAGATTATCCTATTTAAATCAATGTGATAAACGAGTTAGGTCAAAAGTAATTAAAAAGTAGTCTGATTATATTACCTAAAATGGGTAGCCTAATGTAGGCTAATAGATTGCGTTGCCAACTATATTTTTTGTCATGGATTTTGGAATCAGTAACGGACTACAATTTGTAAGTAATCTACCCAGCTCTGTCTATATATGATGATTATTTGGGGTTAATTTCCTAACATTTTAGCTCATTTTACCCCATAATTATCAGTACTGTAAATGCAAAATACAGAGTTTTAATGCAAAATAAGTATTCTGAAAAGCATTAAGGTATACATTTTAAAATAGGCTATTTAAACTTTGTTTGTACTTAATCATTTTAACATACGTTGCACTCCCTTCAGTTAAATTAGTATCACATGTAGTTTGTTATCCTATGTGCTTTCCATAGGTCTTTTTGGAATAAATGGGAGCACGCCCGGGGCATGCTGTTGACCATGGAAACGGGTTCCTGACAGCTGAATTCAGCCATGTGGCCGCGCCTGGACCATATTTACCCCTGCAACTCCTGGTCAGCTGAAGGCAGGGCCATTGCTAGTGGGGAGAAAGGCGGTGACGATTATAGGGGCCCACAGCTTTCGGGGATCCCTGACGATTTCAACCGACTGCCCGAGGCCAGCATGAAAGACGCTCAGGACAGTTGACGGGCCACTGCTGCACGTCATCACAAAAGCTTATCATTTGCACCGTTTTTAAGCCTTGCCAATTTAAACATTCAAGAGATTTTAAAGCATTCAAGCACAAGAAGATGTGAAAGAGCTCAACTGAATACTCGCGAGCTGTGTTTGGTGCGCACACAGAGAGCCGCGTCTCAGGCAGCACGCAAACACCGAATTCTCTTTCGCGTCTTCTTGAGTTTGAACGAACAAATGCACTTCGCTAATTTAAACATTAAAGCACAAAAGATGCGAAAGATTTAATTCAGCTTTAATTCAGCACTGTGCACTGTTCTGTGCACACAGCGTGCACGCAGAGAGCTGCGTCTCACAGTCTGAGAACGCCGAATTGCGTCTTCTTGCACTTGAACGGACAAATACATACAAAATTGTCAAATACCTATTTTGGCAAGTATCCTCGAAAAAACTGTCAGTTATGTCTTAAGTGAACGTAACTGAAAGAAATCGGATGTGTATCATTATATTGGAGCCATGCATTGTGTCTTAAAGTGACCGTGCCTAATTTACTAGCTGCTGTCTGTGTCCTTGGATGTTAATCCAAGAAAAAAAGAGAGATCACTCACTGCTCTTGGCTGACTTACTTTTGTAGTTTTAACAAGAATTCATCTCAATTTAATTTATACAGTGAATACTATGCAATGCTATTTTACATTTGATCATTCGGTTTCTGTATCTGAACACCTACAAACTTGAAAAAACTTCTTGTATTTATTTATTTGTGCTATTTACACGATTTCAAACAGGGCCCATGGGTACAACCTGCACCAGGGCCCCGCAAACCCCAGCTACAGCAAGTTTTTAGGGGCCATTAGGTTCACCTGCACGACTCATGGCCAAAGTCAGTAGCGGTTTGTCCGGTTGTAGGGCCGTGGTTATGGCTGGCCAGTTTTGGACGAGACCGCCAGCCCTGAGCCAGCAGAGGAGCGGTCATCATCAGCGGAGACTAGCCTCAGTGAACCAGCACATGAGGGCATCCAGCACCGCGGGCCACGGGAGCAAAAGCCCGTCGTGGAGCCAGCAAGAGCTCCCCAACTACGGCTCTCTGAGCGAGCACAACGTCTGGTCGAACCGCACGCTGATCTACAGAGATGTGAAGGCTTTTCTCAATGAAATTGGAGGAGATCCACAGGAGGCTCGCTAGTGGTTTACTGCTGAACTTTCAGCGGGCCGATTCATCTCCAGCGTTTGCGGTCCTGGAGGTGCGTGTCCTGCGACCATAGAGTGAGAATCGTATGCAATTTAGATAAATGACTCGTTTATAAATGACCAAATACATGTTTTTATTTTAATGTTTATTATTTTACATAATTCATATTAGATTTTAATAATGTCAATTGTTTTTTTTTTTATAAAATATATTCTGTTTAACGGTATTCTCTCTCTCTCTCTGTATATATATATATAGTCACGGGAGGAGCAAACGACAGACATAGTGGGTGTGGCGTCAGGCCTCGGAGAGGCTTTTATTAACAGAAAATCTACATAAAGTCCAAAAAAAGGGGTAAAAGTGTCCAAAGGGAAAGAGTGTTCAAAATAAACAGGAGATCTGGTGTCCTCGTCGTGCTGCGGGGTTCGGGATGAAAGGGCCCAGGCAGGGACGGACTGGGAGTGAAAAACGGCCCTGGATTTTCTCCCAAATAGGCCCACCACAACTATAAACAGTCGCTATTAGCTCACAATATTACTATTATATTAGTGGTTTTAACAAAAGCCACCAACAGAAGGCGACCAATTACCAGTAGAGACCAACAGGCACCATTACAGTTTCCATTAAAACCAACACAATTTTCATTATAACCAGTAAAACCATTACAAATTATGTGATCATTTCTATTTTTTTTCAGCAGGGGATTGAAATAAATGTATAATTGTATGAACTAAAATACTTGAAATCTACATAAAAAGAGCAGAACGCAAAATGTATGTCAATGATAAACAAACCTATAGAATCTAGAAACCTGAAACAACAGAATTCTTCAGTTTCAGTATTCATATGTCTCTCTCTTTGTGTGTGTGTGTCATGTTAATCAGACTTAGGCTATCACCTTATAGGCGACTTCATTTACTCTATTTTCTAACTCAATATCTCTCAAATGTAACCCATTGGAGAATCGCTGTTGTCTTTATGAATGAATGGAATATTCATGCCAGACAATGCTAAGTAGTAAATAGCAGTGAACGTTCGGACTAGGGGTGTCCTGGGATTTTAATATAGTGCTCATAGGCTACATGCTCTATAGTGTGAGAGGCCGGCAAAGGTAACCTGATGTAACTGTTTGCTTTTTTTCTTTTAGCTTCTCCTAACCGCCTTTGTCTTCACGTCTTTTGCTTGCCATCACGAGCCCACTCTTATTATATTATTTTTTATAAATATCTTATAAAATAACATTTTAATGTCTATAATACTAATATCTCATGTGCTATTCCAATTTTATATACAGTAAGTATATATTAAATATTAATTTATACATGTAAATTATTTATTATTAATTAATTGTATAATTGTAAATGTAAATGTAAATGTAATAAAATAAAATTTTAAGCCTGTTCCACAACTTATGCTTGAGTGTACAGATCCTTTCTTTCATGCGTTTTTGTTTTGTTGACTCTGTAGACAACTGAGCCTTTTTTCTGTTTCAGGAACACTGGTCAAACAAAATTAACTATTAGGTAGGTTACACTGCAGATATCTGACCACTTAATAGCCTTAAAGAAGCAGACTCTTTCTGACTAGTCTAAATGATAAATAACAGTTATGTTTATTATGATTGTATTTATTTTGTAAAAAAAAAAACTGTTCCTTGGGGTCATGACATTTCAAATATTAAAATGTACTTAAAGGGGTCATATGATGCTGCTAAAAAGAACATTATTTGGTGTATTTGGTGTAATGAAATGTGTTTATGCGGTTTAAGGTTAAAAAACACATTATTTTCCACACACTGTACATTATTGTTTCTCCTCTATGCCCCGCCTTTCTGAAATGC